TAAAGGCTACAATAAGCTTGTCAGAAGATCACAAAAGGGGATCACATACGTACTATTCAACGTACTACTCAAAAAGATAGAAAAATGTGGGTTAGACAGCACAGTAACTGGCTGATCAGCCATACTCAGCGTGTGATCCTCAATGGAACCGCATCTACATGGAAGGAAGAGTGTAGTGGGGTGCCCCAGGGCTCTGTTCTGGGCCCAGTGCTCTTCAACATCTTCATCAATGATCTGGATGAGGGGATAGATGGGGAACTCATCAAATTTGCATATGACACCAAGCTGGAAGGAATAGCCAACACTCCAGAAGACTGGCTTAAGATACAGGAGGACCTGGACAGATTTGAACATGGGCGCTATCTAACAAAATGAAATTCAATGGTGAAAAAAGTAAGGTTCTACATTTAGGCAAGAAAAAACAAATGTACAGGTATAGTATAGGGGGTACCTTGCTCAATAGTAGGGATCTCAGAGTCCTAGTGGATTATCACTTAAATATGAGCCAGCAGTGTGCTGCAACTGCCAAAAAAGCCAACACAATGCTGGGCTGCATTAACAGAGGGATAGAATCAAGATCATGTGAAGTATTAATACCATTTTACAATGCCTTGGTAAGGCCACACTTGGAATACCGCATCCAGTTTTGGTCGCCACAATGTAAAAAAGATGCTGAGACTCTAGAAAGAGTACAGAGAAGAGCAACAAATATGATTAGGGGACTGGAGGCTAAAACATATGGTTGCTGGAACTGGGTATGTCTAGTTTAATGAAGAGAAGGACAAGGGGTGACACGATAGCAGTGTTCCAATATCTCAGGGGTTAACACAAAGAAGAGGGAGTCAAGTTATTCTTTCAAAGCACCTGAAGGCAAGACAAGAAGCAAAGGATGGAAACTAACTAAAGAGAGAAGCAACCTAGAACTAAGGAGAAATTTCCTTACAGAACAATTAATCAGTGGAACAACCTGCCTCCAGAAGCTCCAACACTGGAAGTTTTTAAGAAGAGACTGGACGGCCATTTGTCTGAAATGGTATAGGGCTTTCTGCCTGAGCAGGACGTTAGACTAGATGACCTCCAATGTCCCTTCCAACTATTATTATTATTATTATTATTATTATTATTATTATTATTATTAACTAGAGGTTAGCATAACATGCAAATTCAGCCAAAGATTCCCTGTTCAAATGTCCCTACACTCCTTTTTCAGGTGGGATTTTACTATTTGTTTTTTTAAACCGCCTAACTTACTACAAATGTACATATACATGGATTTGTATCTGCAGAAAGATGTGATTCCAAATACAATGATCAGGCAAAAAGTGCCACTGAATTCAGAAATTATTACTTACAAGTCAATGTATATATTATTGCAAGGTAAAGCTTCACTTCTTCTGATCTATCTATTCTGTGGCTATTGGTTTATATGCACTTACCTGTGTAGACATTTAAGAACATTAAGAACAAGATTTGTTTTATTTCTTTAGTTTATTTTATCCTGATTTAATTTCATTGCTTAATATCCCACCAGCATTTGAATTTTATTAAATTCAGAAGGTTTGCTCACCTCTTTGTGACTCTGGATTTGGTTAAAGCACCTGTTAATACTGCTTGAATGATAATACAGCTGAGTGAGCAGCAAATTCATTCTTCTCTAAGCTTAAGCTGAAACTTATCTCCTGCAATTGCACACACCCCTCTGCTGGATCTAACTGAGAACCACCACCTACAGCCAGTGTAGTGAATTAGTCAACAACCTGAAATCTGAATTCTCTGCATGCATCAAATGGGAACTTCCTAATAGTTCAACTTGATAGTCATCAATCTTTCAAATACCCAGTATAAGTGTTCCTGCGTCAATCATTGACAGCCAAACAATAGAGTCGCGGCTTATGTGTGGTATGCACGGTAAAAATAAATGTATTTGTAGAATTAAAGGGGGAAGAAGGAAAAAGGAATGTTACTACTATATATTAAAGCCATCTGAGTATCATGTGAACCAAAGAAGAGAAAACTAACAATATTGGCTGGTTATTTTTAGTCTTCCTGCTTCTTGACCAAGTCTGTTGCCCACAAAGAATCTTGCCATGTATTTTCCAGATCACAGGAGCAAAGAAACAGAACCTTGAGTTTAGGTGACATTTTTGGAAATCCTTTAAAATTTATTTTAATAAGATTTTTCACTAAATGTATCTGAGTTCATTTTATGATACTTCAATCTAGACTATCCCACTCCCATTGGATCTATGGGACAGATAATATACTGTATTGTATCGTTTAGGGTTCATTTGTAGTGTGAATTATCAGACTAAAATTCCAAATTGAAACTTTTGCACAACTTTGATAAAGCATATCCACTTTTTCCCTGAACAGCTGCCCAATCCCATCTTTCAGACTTCGTTTAATCTCTTACTACTCTTTATTTCTGGCAAGATTGCAGTACAGCCCCCTCATTTCCACATCTTGTTCAGAAGCTGTCGATCTGTTAGTGGTCTGTGAATCATGTTTAATTTCATCTCAAGCAGGTAGTGGGGAGAGTATTAGTCCTACAAGGTAAACCAGACTAAGAAAGCAATGACACTTATGTCAGTATTTATATGCTGTTTATATGCTTATAGTAAGAGCTATAATAACAGAATATATTGAGCTATGGTAACAGAATCTTGCACATCTGAATGTGCTTTCCCTTCCCTCCTTTTATCTCCATGTGAATTAGGAAGAAGCAAAAAGCCAATACAATCCTAGGCTGTGTTAACAGAGGGACAAAATCAAGATCATGTTAAGTATTAGTACCGCTTTATAAAGCCTTAGTAAGACCACACTTGGAATACTGCATCTAGTTTTGGTCAACACAATATAAAAATGATGTTGAAATTCTGGAAAGAGTGCAGAATGGAGCAACAAATATGATTAGGGGCCTGGAAGCTAAAACATATCACAAACAGTTGCAGGAATTGGGTAAGTCTAGTCGAGTGAAAAGAAGGACTAGGGGCTGACATGATAGCAGTGTTCCAATATCTAAGGGACTGCCACAGAGAAGAGGGGGTCAACCTATTTTCCAAAGCAGCAGAAGGCAAGGCAAGAAACAATGGATGGAAACTAAATGAGGAGGGGAGTAAGAACTAAGGAGAAATTTCCTAACACTGAGAACAATTAACCAGTGGAACAGAAGTTGTGATTGCTCCATCACTGGAGACGTTTAAGAAGAGACTAGACAGTCACTTGTCTGAAATGGTATAGTCCTCCATATTTTTTTAAAGTGGTAAGGGGTTCTGAGAGAAAAAAGTAAAAAAAAAAAAAAGAAAGAAACACTCATTTAGACAATCCCAGATTGTGTTTGGTAGCATGTCTCAGGTTTAGACTATAAATACTAGAACACTAGATGGCAGTACTATAAAGAGAAACAGACATTTTTGCTGCCATCAAGAGGTCATTCCAATCACTGCCGCCCATAGTTGATAACCAACCAACAAAAATATTGCTCATTATGTGCCCCAAAGTGGAATCAACAAAATTAATCAACAAAAACTAGTAACAGTAAAAGTTACATCACAGCAATAAAAGCAGTATACAACACGATATATTTACAGTCACTATAAAAATAGCCTTATACCATAAAGAGTTGCTAGTTGATCAAATGGTCTCAAAAATCAAATAAATAATCAAATAAATACCTAAAACCCTGCATCTAAACCTGACAACTAACTTGGCTAATTACAATGCTGTATCCCTGCCTTTTTACTTTACTGTCTTTCTCAACTACCATTAGCAGTACTTTTACCAATTTGTCCCTTTAATTAAATCAGTAAATTTTCAAGTCCATCTGAAATGCATGCAAAGATGTCTAGAGTTAGAGTAGGAGAAGAGAACAAAAGGATCTATTTGGGGATCAAGGTACTGAAATGAATGCAAACAAGATGGAGGCACATTTGAAAAAAGTCCCTGTCCTGGTCATGTTCTGTAATCATGCCAAGACAGGACTGGGGCAATTAATAGAAATGGCTAACCCCAGTTCTTTAATTACAATAATATTAACAATTTTACTCCTCCTATGCCTGAAGAGAAAAGTTTTCGATCAATGTGTGCTACGTGTTCTACCATATGCCAGCAAAATATGGACACTAACCTCACAATCGATACAAAAGCTACGAGTGGTGCAAAGAGCCATGGAAAGATACATGCTCAGTACCACAAGACAAGATAGAAAGACCTGCACGTGGATTAGAGAACAAACGAAAATACACAATGCCATCGAAAGAGTAAAAGAATTAAAATGGAAATGGGCTGGTCACATAGCAAGAAGAACTGGTGCTAGGTGGACCAAGGAAGTCATAGAATGGATCCCCCTTGATAAAAAGCGTCCACAAAAGAGACCTAAAACAAGCTGCATTGAAGACTGTATTGGTTGGAAACATGCGGAACAGGCCTTCATCCTACAGACAACAGCTACAATGAATATTAAGAGTTTAATTTGGGTTCTGACTCCCACAGGTGAAATGTAGGCTGACCCATTTAACCAAATAGATACAATTATCTATTTGGGGGAGGGGGGAATCACAAAGTAAAAGCAGACTTAACTTCTTAACCTATTTTCATGCTACTTTACAGGGTCTTCAAATGCTATAAAAACAGGTGGCTCTCCCTGGAATGTGGTGCTGGTAAATTTTCTCTCTCTCCCCCAATTTTAGCTCAAAGTTCCAAAAGCAAGCAACAATGTATATATAAAATTTTGGTAACCACAGTTGGGGCCAGCAATTCAGTCCTTATGCAAAGCAGTTTCTAAGTGAAACAGTGAATATATTTATGATCTTACTTCAGTTTTCCTTTGCTTACAGACCAGCGAAGATTGCAAATGCAAGGATTGGTAGTAAAGTTACATTTTCATCACCACTGTTAACTGTGAATGATCGCTAAATGAGAGCTACCTATATTTAACATTGGTTATTTTAAACCATTTGCAATTGGCTTAATTTCAAAAGTATAAAATTCAGGTAACTTACCATGCATATTGGTAGTTTCCACTGTGTGAAAAGAGACCAGGGATGGTAGAGATGATTGAGAGATTGTCTTTTGGTACTCAGTTCCTTCTTGACTAACTGTGACAGGATGTACTATATCGCCTAATAAAAGAATAAAAAACTTAAGAAAACTATTCCAAACATTCCTACTGTGTAAAATATCAAATATACCCATGCTTTTCTAAAAAATAATTTTGGACTTTTTAATTGTACACACATAAAAACAAAGAATAGCCTTAAAGCAACCCAAACTTTGATAACAAATACGAATATAAACTATTGGGAAACAACATCCAACTATTTCTTGAATTTTTAATATTAAAATAATTAGGATCAGAACAAAAGGATTTATTGCCATAAAAACAATTATATAGAATGACAGTGGACATTTATTTATGGTACATTTACAAAATCAGAAAAACTAAATTCAGCTTTCCCCAAAACATAAATTACGAAGAAAAGACAGCAAAGGACGGCTAAAAACAGCTTTGCCTATAAGGAACACATAAACATCACCTCTGCAAAAACAATAGGATCAACAAACATAAAAGGCAAATAAAATTGAAAAATGAAATATTACCTGCTCCAGTGACAGAAGATGGGAACATTATTGATTCTTCAGATGTAACAGTCATTTCTTTAATTCTACTCTCAGTAATCGAAGAGAAAATATCTGTAACAGGAAAAAGATGGAATGTGGAAAACATTGATGTAGAGCCAGAAGGCGGGCGGTGAGTTGTCGACTCCTGCGGTGAGGTTCCTTTCGGCTGCATGGTAGAAGAGTGGGCGAGGGAGGGACTAGTTTGTTCCTTGGCGGAGGTTAGCTCAGTCATGCCAACAGTAGCTGTCGTGGTGACAATAGAGGCCACCGACTCTGCGGAGGACATGTTTTCTGGGAATGCAGTGCTCGAGCGTGTCGAATGGAGCGAAGAGGTGGTGCCTCCTTCAGCTGGGGTGGATTCTGCATGAATAGAAGAACTCGTGCCGTGGGATGCAATGGTGGTCTCTGAGGGAGACGATGTTGGCGAGGTCCGAGCCGGAGAGGATACAGTCGGCATAGAAGGAGACATGGCCAGGGGAGACTTGGATGCTGGGGAAGCTGTTTTGGTCACTTCTGCTGAGGTCAGCTCGGCCTTAGTGGGAGAAACCTTGCTGAAGGTTGGCGTGGTTTGACCTTCAAGAGACGTGAAGCTGGTCTCCACAGTGGAAGGCAACCTCATCGGAGTGGAACCGGTCACCTCCAGAGTCGAGGTTCTGAGCTGCACAGCCGTAGGAGATGTTGCCGAAGAGAGGGAAGGGCTGGTCCCCTCAACTGCTGTTGATTCGACCTTGGCTGGAGGACGGGTGGACCGGAAGGAGACGGTGGTTTCCTTGGTAAGGGCAATGGAAGAGTGGTGACTGGAAGGGGAAGAAGTTGACGGGGAAACGGAGGTGCCTCGGGCAGAGCTGACCTCCGGTTCCCCTGTGGAAGAGCCAGAAGGCGGGTGTTGAGTTGTGGTCTCCTGCGGTGAGGTTCCTTTCGGCTGCATGGTAGAAGAGTGGGCGAGGGAGGGACTAGTTTGTTCCTTGGCGGAGGTTAGCTCAGTCATGCCAACAGTAGCTGTCGTGGTGACAATAGAGGCCACCGACTCTGCGGAGGACATGGTTTCTGGGACTGCAGTGCTTGAGCGTGTCGAATGGAGCGAAGAGGTGGTGCCGCCTTCAGCTGGGGTGGATTCTGCATGAATAGAAGAACTCGTGCCATGGGATGCAATGGTGGTCTCTGAGGGAGACGATGGCGGCGAGGTCCGAGCCGGAGAGGATACGGTCGGCATGGAAGGAGACGTGGCCAGGGGAGACTCGGATGCTGGGGAAGCTGTTTTGGTCACTTCTGCTGAGGTCAGCTCGGCCTTAGTGGGAGAAACCTTGCTGAAGGTTGGCGTGGTTTGACCTTCAAGAGACGTGAAGCTGGTCTCCACAGTGGAAGGCGACCTCATCGGCGTGGAACCGGTCACCTCCAAGTCGAGGTTCTGAGCTGCACAGCCGTAGGAGATGTTGCCGAAGAGAGGGAAGGGCTGGTCCCCTCAACTGCTGTTGATTCGACCTTGGCTGGAGGATGGGTGGACCGGAAGGAGACGGTGGTTTCCTTGGTAAGGGCAATGGAAGAGTGGTGACTGGAAGGGGAAGAAGTTGACGGGGAAACGGAGGTGCCTCGGGCAGAGCTGACCTCCGGTTCCCCTGTGGAAGAGCCAGAAGGCGGGTGTTGAGTTGTGGTCTCCTGCGGTGAGGTTCCTTTCGGCTGCATGGTAGAAGAGTGGGCGAGGGAGGGACTAGTTTGTTCCTTGGCGGAGGTTAGCTCAGTCATGCCAACAGTAGCTGTCGTGGTGTGACGGAGAATAGAGGCCACCGACTCTGCGGAGGACATGGTTTCTGGGACTGCAGTGCTTGAGCGTGTCGAATGGAGCGAAGAGGTGGTGCCCGCCTTCAGCTGGGGTGGATTCTGCATGAATAGAAGAACTCGTGCCATGGGATGCAATGGTGGTCTCTGAGGGAGACAATGGCGGCGAGGTCCGAGCGGGAGAGGATACGGTCGGCATGGAAGGAGACGTGGCCAGGGGAGACTCGGATGCTGGGGAAGCTGTTTTGGTCACTTCTGCTGAGGTCAGCTCGGCCTTAGTGGGAGAAACCTTGCTGAAGGTTGGCGTGGTTTGACCTTCAAGAGACGTGAAGCGGGTCTCCACAGTGGAAGGCGACCTCATCGGCGTGGAACCGGTCACCTCCAAAGTCAAGGTTCTCAGCTGCACAGCCGTAGGAGATGTTGCCGAAGAGAGGGAAGGGCTGGTCCCCTCAACTGCTGTTGATTCGACCTTGGCTGGAGGATGGGTGGACCGGAAGGAGACGGTGGTTTCCTTGGTAAGGGCAATGGAAGAGTGGTGACTGGAAGGGGAAGACGTTGACGGGGAAATGGAGGTGCCTCGGGCAGAGCTGACCTCCGGTTTCCCCGTGGAAGAGCCAGAAGGCGGGTGTTGAGTTGTTGTCTCCTGTGGTGAGGTTCCTTTCGGCTGCATGGTAGAAGAGTGGGCGAGGGAGGGACTAGTTTGTTCCTTGGCGGAGGTTAGCTCAGTCATGCCAACAGTAGCTGTCGTGGTGACAATAGAGGCCACCGACTCTGCGGAGGACATGGTTTCTGGGACTGCAGTGCTCGAGCGTGTCGAATGGAGTGAAGAGGTGGTGCCTCCTTCAGCTGGGGTGGATTCTGCATGAATAGAAGAACTCGTGCCGTGGGATGCAATGGTGGTCTCTGAGGGAGACGATGGCGGCGAGGTCCGAGCCGGAGAGGATACGGTCGGCATGGAAGGAGACGTGGCCAGGGGAGACTCGGATGCTGGGGAAGCAGTTTTGGTCACTTCTGCTGAGGTGAGCTCGGCCTTAGTGGGAGAAACCTTGCTGAAGGTTGGCGTGGTTTGACCTGCAAGAGACGTGAGGCTGGTCTCCACAGTGGAAGGCGACCTCATCGGGGTGGAACCGGTCACCTCCAGAGTCGAGGTTCTGAGCTGCACAGCCGTAGGAGATGTTGCCGAAGAGAGGGAAGGGCTGGTCCCCTCAACTGCTGTTGATTCGACCTTGGCTGGAGGACGGGTGGACCGGAAGGAGACGGTGGTTTCCTTGGTAAGGGCAATGGAAGAGTGGTGACTGGAAGGGGAAGAAGTTGACGGGGAAACGGAGGTGCCTCGGGCAGAGCTGACCTCCGGTTTCCCTGTGGAAGAGCCAGAAGGTGGGTGTTGAGTTGTGGTCTCCTGCGGTGAGGTTCCTTTCGGCTGCATGGTAGAAGAGTGGGCGAGGGAGGGACTAGTTTGTTCCTTGGCGGAGGTTAGCTCAGTCATGCCAACAGTAGCTGTCGTGGTGACAATAGAGGCCACCGACTCTGCGGAGGACATGGTTTCTGGGACTGCAGTGCTCGAGCGTGTCGAATGGAGCGAAGAGGTGGTGCCTCCTTCAGCTGGGGTGGATTCTGCATGAATAGAAGAACGCGTGCCGTGGGATGCAATGGTGGTGTCTGAGGGAGACGATGGCGGCAAGGTCCGATCCGGAGAGGATACAGTCTGCATGGAAGGAGACGTGGCCAGGGGAGATTCGGATGCTGGGGAAGCTGTTTTGGTCACTTCTGCTGAGGTCAGCTCGGCCTTAGTGGGAGAAACCTTGCTGAAGGTTGGCGTGGTTTGACCTTCAAGAGACGTGAAGCTGGTCTCCACAGTGGAAGGCGACCTCATCGGGGTGGAACCGGTCACCTCCAGAGTCGAGGTTCTGAGCTGCACAGCCGTAGGAGATGTTGCCGAAGAGAGGGAAGGGCTGGTCCCCTCAACTGCTGTTGATTCGACCTTGGCTGGAGGACGGGTGGACCGGAAGGAGACGGTGGTTTCCTTGGTAAGGGCAATGGAAGAGTGGTGACTGGAAGGGGAAGAGTTGACGGGGAAACGGAGGTGCCTCGGGCAGAGCTGACCTCCGGTTCCCCTGTGGAAGAGCCAGAAGGCGGGTGTTGAGTTGTGGTCTCCTGCGGTGAGGTTCCTTTCGGCTGCATGGTAGAAGAGTGGGCGAGGGAGGGACTAGTTTGTTCCTTGGCGGAGGTTAGCTCAGTCATGCCAACAGTAGCTGTCGTGGTGACAATAGAGGCCACCGACTCTGCGGAGGACATGGTTTCTGGGACTGCAGTGCTCGAGCGTGTCGAATGGAGCGAAGAGGTGGTGCCTCCTTCAGCTGGGGTGGATTCTGCATGAATAGAAGAACTCGTGCCATGGGATGCAATGGTGGTCTCTGAGGGAGACGATGGCGGCGAGGTCCGATCCGGAGAGGATACGGTCGGCATGGAAGGAGACGTGGCCAGGGGAGATTCGGATGCTGGGGAAGCTGTTTTGGTCACTTCTGCTGAGGTCAGCTCGGCCTTAGTGGGAGAAACCTTGCTGAAGGTTGGCGTGGTTTGACCTTCAAGAGACGTGAAGCTGGTCTCCACAGTGGAAGGCGACCTCATCGGGGTGGAACCGGTCACCTCCAGAGTCGAGGTTCTGAGCTGCACAGCCGTAGGAGATGTTGCCGAAGAGAGGGAAGGGCTGGTCCCCTCAACTGCTGTTGATTCGACCTTGGCTGGAGGACGGGTGGACCGGAAGGAGACGGTGGTTTCCTTGGTAAGGGCAATGGAAGAGTGGTGACTGGAAGGGGAAGAAGTTGACGGGGAAACGGAGGTGCCTCGGGCAGAGCTGACCTCCGGTTCCCTGTGGAAGAGCCAGAAGGCGGGTGTTGAGTTGTGGTCTCCTGCGGTGAGGTTCCTTTCGGCTGCATGGTAGAAGAGTGGGCGAGGGAGGGACTAGTTTGTTCCTTGGCGGAGGTTAGCTCAGTCATGCCAACAGTAGCTGTCGTGGTGACAATAGAGGCCACCGACTCTGCGGAGGACATGGTTTCTGGGACTGCAGTGCTCGAGCGTGTCGAATGGAGCGAAGAGGTGGTGCCTCCTTAGCTGGGGTGGATTCTGCATGAATAGAAGAACTCGTGCCGTGGGATGCAATGGTGGTCTCTGAGGGAGACGATGGCGGCGAGGTCCGATCCGGAGAGGATACGGTCGGCATGGAAGGAGACGTGGCCAGGGGAGATTCGGATGCTGGGGAAGCTGTTTTGGTCACTTCTGCTGAGGTCAGCTCGGCCTTAGTGGGAGAAACCTTGCTGAAGGTTGGCGTGGTTTGACCTTCAAGAGACGTGAAGCTGGTCTCCACAGTGGAAGGCGACCTCATCGGGGTGGAACCGGTCACCTCCAGAGTCGAGGTTCTGAGCTGCACAGCCGTAGGAGATGTTGCCGAAGAGAGGGAAGGGCTGGTCCCCTCAACTGCTGTTGATTCGACCTTGGCTGGAGGACGGGTGGACCGGAAGGAGACGGTGGTTTCCTTGGTAAGGGCAATGGAAGAGTGGTGACTGGAAGGGGAAGAAGTTGACGGGGAAACGGAGGTGCCTCGGGCAGAGCTGACCTCCGGTTCCCCTGTGGAAGAGCCAGAAGGCGGGTGTTGAGTTGTGGTCTCCTGCGGTGAGGTTCCTTTCGGCTGCATGGTAGAAGAGTGGGCGAGGGAGGGACTAGTTTGTTCCTTGGCGGAGGTTAGCTCAGTCATGCCAACAGTAGCTGTCGTGGTGACAATAGAGGCCACCGACTCTGCGGAGGACATGGTTTCTGGGACTGCAGTGCTCGAGCGTGTCGAATGGAGCGAAGAGGTGGTGCCTCCTTCAGCTGGGGTGGATTCTGCATGAATAGAAGAACTCGTGCCGTGGGATGCAATGGTGGTCTCTGAGGGAGACGATGGCGGCGAGGTCCGATCCGGAGAGGATACGGTCGGCATGGAAGGAGACGTGGCCAGGGGAGATTCGGATGCTGGGGAAGCTGTTTTGGTCACTTCTGCTGAGGTCAGCTCGGCCTTAGTGGGAGAAACCTTGCTGAAGGTTGGCGTGGTTTGACCTTCAAGAGACGTGAAGCTGGTCTCCACAGTGGAAGGCGACCTCATCGGGGTGGAACCGGTCACCTCCAGAGTCGAGGTTCTGAGCTGCACAGCCGTAGGAGATGTTGCCGAAGAGAGGGAAGGGCTGGTCCCCTCAACTGCTGTTGATTCGACCTTGGCTGGAGGACGGGTGGACCGGAAGGAGACGGTGGTTTCCTTGGTAAGGGCAATGGAAGAGTGGTGACTGGAAGGGGAAGAAGTTGACGGGGAAACGGAGGTGCCTCGGGCAGAGCTGACCTCTGGTTCCCCTGTGGAAGAGCCAGAAGGCGGGTGTTGAGTTGTGGTCTCCTGCGGTGAGGTTCCTTTCGGCTGCATGGTAGAAGAGTGGGCGAGGGAGGGACTAGTTGGTTCCTTGGCGGAGGTTAGCTCAGTCATGCCAACAGTAGCTGTTGTGGTGACAATAGAGGCCACCGACTCTGTGGAGGACATGGTTTCTGGGACTTCAGTGCTTGAGCGTGTCGAATGGAGCGAAGAGGTGGTGCCTCCTTCAGCTGGGGTGGATTCTGCATGAATAGAAGAACTCGTGCCATGGGATGCAATGGTGGTGTCTGAGGGAGACGATGGCGGCGAGGTCCGAGCCGGAGAGGATACGGTCGGCATGGAAGGAGACATGGCCAGGGGAGACTCAGATGATGGGGAGGTTCCTTCTGGCTTCATAACAGTAGAATGGGCGAGTGATCGATTGGTTTGTCCCTGGGCAGAGGTTAAGCTATCTGTAGTAGAGAGAAGTTTCCTTTTTCTGAATATCCATTGTTGGTTTTTCTTTTCTAGTGCATGGCGTAGCTTGTTTAGTGTGTTCATTAGAGTAATAGTTCTTGTTTGATTTGAGTGTTGCTCTTTGTTGAATGTCAGTGAAATTGTTTTCAGTGCTGTTCCATTTACACCTCTCCCCGATATTGCTAAGATATATTAGTTAGAAAAAGTTTAGTTAGCATTGGTTGATCATTCTTATTTTTTGCTATTTTTTAGTTATTTCAGCTAACTAGCCAATTATGTCGGGTGAATAAGTATCTAATATCTCAGGCTGCCACAAAATGTATTATTTAGGCAGGTAATTTTCAACGTGTTTTGTAAAGATAATAATAGTAGTAGTAGTAGTAGTAGTAGTAGTAGTAGTAGTAGTAGTAGTAAAGTTGGAAGGAACCTTGGAGGTCATCTAGTCATCTATAAGAAACCGTATACCATTTCGGACAAATGGCTGTCCGGTCTCTTCTTAAAATATTTTTCCCACTACAGCATTTTGAATTTTTAGACTGAAAATGCTGGAATCACATCTGGCAAATATCTTTAGCAACTGTTTCAATGAGCCATTGATTCTTTATCCATAATATTCAGTGTGCTGCTTCACATTTGAATGCTGTACAAAAGTTCCAGCATCTTGTTTTTAACCCTTGCGAAATAGTTTTATCTTTTGTATATAATCTTGCCTTAATAGCAATAGCATTTTGACTTATATACCACTGCACAGTGCTTTAAATCCCTCTCTAAGCAGTTTACAAAGTCAGCATATTGCCCCCAACAATTTGGTTCCTGGGCGTTATCTAACAAAATGAAATTCAGTGGTGAAAAAAGTAAGGTTCTACATTTAGCCAAGAAAAACCAAATGTACAGGTATAATATAGGGGGTACCTTGCTCAATAGTAGTAACTGTGAGAGCAATCTCGGAGTCCTAGTGGACAATCACTTAAATATGAGCCAGCAGTGTGCTTCAGCTGCCAAAAAAGCCAACACAGTGCTGGGCTGCATTAACAGAGGGATAGAATCAAGATCTCGTGAAGTATTAATACCACTTTACAATGCCTTGGTAAGGCCACACTTGGAATACTGCATCCAGTTTTGGTCACCATGATGTAAAAAAGATGCTGAGACTCTACAAAGAGTACAGAGAAGAGCAACAAAGATGATTAGGGGACTGGAGGCTAAAACATATAAGGAACAGTTGCTGGAATTGGGTATGTCTAGTTTAACGAAGAGAAGGACGAAGGGGGACATGATAGCAGTATTCAGGAGTAGGCAACCTTGGCTCTTTTATGACTTGTGGATTTCAACTCCCAGAATTCCTGAGCCAGCCATGCTAAGGGGAAAGGGAGAGGTTTCCAAGCTGAGCCATGCTGGCTCACGAATTCTGGGGGTTGAAGTCCAGAGTCATAAAAGAGCCACAGATCCCTACCCCTGGTCTAGTTTAATAAAGAGAAGGACGAGGGGGAGACATGATAGCAGTGTTCCAATATCTCAGGGGCTGCCACAAAGAAGAGGGAGTCAAGCTGTTTTCCAAGGCGCCTGAAGGCAGGACAAGAAGCAATGGATGGAAACTAATCAAGGAGAGAAGCAACCTAGAACTAAGGAGAAACTTCCTGACAGTTAGAACAATTAACCAGCGGAACAACCTGCCTCCAGAAGCGGTGAATGCTCCAACACTGGAAGTTTTTAAGAAGAGACTGGACAGCCATTTGTCCAAAATGGTGTAAGGGGTTGGACTCGATGACTTCCAAGGTCCCTTCCAACTTCATCATCATCATCATCATCATTATTATTATTATTATGGAAGGCTGATTCAACCTTGAGCCACTTAGAATCAAACTCCTGGGAGTGAGCAGTGAGTTAGCCTGCAATGCTGCATTCTAGCCACTGCGCCACCACGGCTCTTAAGGAAATGTGCATCAACCTCGTCAAGTTTCTTCTGCATTTCCCTAAGCCTCACCTAAATAACATTGATTTTGTCAGAAAAAAATATTAATTTCTGCTGCATTATTTCTCACAGCTTAATGCTCTTATCATCTTCCCAGGCTTAGAAAAATTCTTAAGGGAGAGGATGTAAGTTTTCTATCCCTTTCCAACTTTTTTGAAATGCCATTCCTAGACTTTAAAAGACAGCTCATCCCTGTTGTTAGAATTAGAAAATTGTTTATTTGGCCCTCTAATCCAAACATCTGCCCAATGCTGTACAATCCACACCACAATTTCTTAAATCCAAAATTCTTCAGGGATTTGATAAGCCTGGAAGCATCTCAATAGATCCCAGCTTGTACCAGACATCTAGGGAATCTTCCACTCTTAGGATGAAATCACAGCATCCATACTTCCACTTGTCAGTGTTAGGTCCTGATCCATACAGAAATAATGACTTTTCCTTATTCAGCTGCTTGAAGTAGTGTTACATTTCCTTTTTCTTCATAAAATATTGTATTCAGCAGGCGTTTGGCTTGAATATGTCAAATTTTATCCATGTCTGAAGATCACATCTTAGATACTTAACACTCCAAATATCACGTAGGTTGCATTTGAACTGTGACTTTGTATTTGTATTAAATATTAATTTTCATTTGTATTAAATTTGAGTTGTGTGGAAAAGCCAGTTTGTAAGTAGAATTAGTCATGACAATTTTGGTTATGCATTGGTCCTGGAACACATGAAATTAATTGGCTGAGATTGGAATGAAATGAAGCTTAGTGCTGCTAAAATCCTCTTTATGTCTGCCTTGTTTCAGCTCATATATTCAGCCTTCCATCCTTCCGGGGTAGGTAAAATGAGGACCCAGATTGTTGGGGGCAATGTAAATATATATATACATTGCTTACTGGTGTACACCGCTTAGAGAGTGCTTGCACTTAAAGCGGTATATAGGTCTCATAAATAAATAAATACTTGTCTGTGCCAAATAAGCTACAATTCTAGGTTTGCTTCTTCACTAGTTTCTTGTAATCTTATGTATGGCATAAGGGAAGATGGGAAGGCTGCATCCCCTCCCTCTTTCCCCCCTCCTTCTGGCTCCTACACCCAATCATCTGGCAGCAAGGCCAGACAGGCAAGCACCGATTGGCTGTTTGGAACCAAAGGTAAAATATAAAATCTCTTAATAATGGCAGACAGTGAGAGAAGGACAAGCTGGTGACTTAGATGCCTGCTGGCAATGTAAGGCTGGCTGGAGAAGACCAACAGGTGAGCAGCAATTGGCTGCTTTGGAATGGAGGCCGAAATCTGAAATATTTTAAAGGTATGGAGAGATTTTGATGCCGGCTTGAGAGGTACAGCTGGCTGGAGAGCATTGGTAATTGACAGGTGAGCCCTCTTTCTCCCTGGAGGGAGGTGGCCTTTTCGAGGATGGGGAGCATGGGTTTTTCCTTGCAATCCATGTCTCCATTTGTTTTTCTTCCCCTTGACAAAGTAGCAGGCAGTTCTACAAGTCAGCTGAGGAGGAGCAGTGATTTCCAATGCTCCCTGCCAGCTTCTCACAAGCAACATCAATGGGGAAGCCAGCAGGAAGTCAATCCAGCTCCCGCTGCTTTATTTGCTGGCCGTGGTCATTCTGTTTCTCTGTTTAGGTAAGGAAATATCTCTGAAAGGATATCACAGGGTCACAGATTGTCTAATAATATATCATTGCTCAGACCAATATTTTTCTTTCCTTATTCAAAATATTTTGAAAGGCATTCACAGTTACTGCTTAAATATCTTATTCTGATTTTGCTCCTGGACATGCAATGCAATGCAAAATAATTGTATGTGGTTTGCCTGAACATGAGATTAGGTATAGATAATCCTTGACTTTCAACCATAATTTGGACCAGAAATTCCATTGCTAAATTATGTGGTCATTCTTGCCACAGTCATTAAATGAATCACATGGTCATTAAGTGAATCGGCTTTCCCCACTGATTTGGTTTGTCAAAAGCCATCTGGGAAGTTTACAAATGGTGATCATATGAGCCAGGATGCTGCAGCTATCGTAAATACATACTGGTGGCCAAGAGCTCAAATTGCGATCATGTGAATGCATGTATGCTGAGAGTTGTGAGAACCTGTTATAAGTCACTTTTTTCAGTGCCATCATAACTTTGAACAGTCACTAAATGAATAGTCATAAGTCAAGAACTATCTGTATTTAGCAGTGTTGCATTTAAAATTAATTGTAAGATCTTAAACTTTTTTAAAATGATAATACTGTTGGTATAATGCAGAAAGTATACAGAATCAGCATATGAATGGAATAGGTGAAATTGTTAAAAATCAGATGCTCAGACTGACTCACACAACCTGAATACATGATAAATGATAAAGAGCCGTGGTGGCGCAGTGGTTAGAATGCAGTATTGCAGGCTAACTTTGCTCACAGCCAGGAGTTCAATCCTGACCGGCTCAAAGTTGACTCAGCCTTCCATCTTTCCAAGGTCATTAAAATGAGGACCCAGATTGTTGGGGGGTAATAGGCTGTCTCTGTAAACCGCTTAGAGAGGGCTGTAAAGCACTATGAAGCAGTATTTAAGTCTAAGTACTAGTGCTAGTGCTACTGATATAAATTCTAAAAACGTAATGATATTTAATATAAAAACCACATCAAATATGAAATGGTAAATAATGCACTAAACTCTGTCAAAAGGAGCAACACATTATTGATCAATTTCTATTCTAATATTATAAAACACTATGTTTACTTTACTCTCATTTGATTATAAACTAAAAATCACAATGAATATATGAAGGTAGAGTTACTGATTTCCAACGCAGCAAAGAAATTGTAAGAGGGTGCAGAGTGTCAATGCTGCAAATACTGTATATTCTTGCTTTGACAATATGCAAAACTGTCTGGTAATTACTGGGTTAATACACAGCTTAGAGTGGGGGGGAGAAAAAGCCCGGGAAAGAAAGAGGAAGTAAACTTTTGACCTTCACGCTAATTGGATAATGTGACTTGTGACTGCAAGACAAGGGAGGGGTTTAGCAAGAAAAGGTTGATGCCAGCGACAGGAAGTCAGATTCTGGCATCAATACGTCCATGATGGTGACCGGCAGAATTGTAGCTCTTTAATAAAGACTTTAGGAAACATGCCTGAAAGTTCTTTGAAGTGCTTCATTAGTTGGAACCTGTGACACAGAGATTATGTCAGCTCAGTTCCTCAA